GAACAGGCATGGCTAGTATGTGACCAGGAGAAATTCAATTATTGAAATCTAAAACAGATATAAGAATGTCATTTGATTATATAGTCAAACTGCCTGCCATACATGTGCCTACTCTAGTGAGCGAACAGGCCGAGTTCAGTATGTTTATGACACAGTTTGCTTAGTTTAATATGTTTGTTCTCACCACACACTCAACCGAATGACACAAAGATTTCTCCGCAGTAGTTTTACTCCGCTCTCCTGCGGTCTTTAAACGCACCTGTCTCAGTAAAACCACCAGGGGGCAGTAAGGAACCCATCACATCCAGAAGACGCAAAGCTTTGAACAAAAATAAATAAATAAAAAGAGTTCGTCTCAAACGACGAAGATGATTTAAACGTTCTCCTGGAGAAAGAAACGATCCGGTGCCGTTGGACTGCCGAACTCCAAACCAAGCTTTGCTGCACAACCGTCACAGTCGGTGGTTTAACACTTCGGCGGTTATCTCGACTCCACCCACATCAGGAAGGTCTAACGTAAACAAAGGGCGACTCCCGTCTCCATGACGACTGCAGTCGATTCGCCGCCTGCAGGTCTGAAAGCAGGAAGGACGAGGACCGGGTCTTATGTGACCTTCTCGTGCTGGATCTGGTAGTAGCAGGCCTGCAGGTGGACATGAAGACGTGAGAGGACGAGTGGGCAACAGAGGGGTGTGTGTGTGTGTGTGTGTTACCTTCAAGGTGGTGAACATGATGCCATGCTCTCCGTGCTGAACGCAGGGATCCATCAGGTCTTCTATCAGGCTGACCTCTGACCCCAGGTTCCTGATCCTGAAAGCACAACAAAACAGATTTTACGTAAAGTTTACAGATATTGATGTAAACTCTGGCGGGGGATTAGATCTGTGTGGAAAAGGTTGTCAAGCAAGGTGGCAGGAGCAGAACATTCACTCGTGATCCATTCTTACTTCGTATGTTTTTCAGCGCGTTTCTCGTCCCGCAGTTTTTAAGCTACGTCGTCAAATCATAAATCAAAACGTTCAGCTCTTTCAGGACAATCCTGCTATGACGTTTGGTATTGGTGCAACTTCAGCTTTTTTAAATATTTAGCCTTTTCTGCCACTTTTTTCCTCCTAGAAAATAAATTGAGCTCATTTTACATCCTTCAAATTTTTAGATGCGTTTACAACCTTTTTCTGCCCCTTTCACATTTTGTTCTGCTTCAGCCTCTTTGTGCAAATTGAAACCCGTTTTCAGCTACTTTCAGCTGTTTTGTGCTACTTTCAGGTTCTTTCTGCCAACCATAACATTTTTGTGCATCTAACTTCTTTCTGCTAATTTCAGCTCATGTTTGTCAGCCAATTTCAGCAAGTTTCAGCTTTTTTCTGCTATTTCAGCTACTTTTTAGCGGTTTTATGCTAACTTAAGCTTTTTCAGCTAATTACACATTTTTTGCACTCATTTCAACTTTATTCAGCCTAATTCGGCAAAAATGTGCTCTCTCCACTTTCTTCTGGTAATTTTAGAGATTCTTCTTATTTTTATTTAGCTGCTAGTACATTTTAGCTGTTTTTTTCCTCTAATTTCTGCTTTTGTTAGATAAGTTCCACTTTTTTGTGGAGAGCAGAGAAAGAAGAATCTCTGCTTCTTTGAACAAACATGTTCTTTCTGCTGTCTTCTACTAATTTAAGCTTGCTCTACCCGTTCAGCTACTTTTTAAAGCATTTTAGCAAGTTTCAGCTGGTTTTAGATAAATTCAAATTTTTTGTAGTAATTTCTGCTACCATCAGCCTAATTAACTCATTTCTGCTAATTTCAGCTTGTTTTGCTCCTTTCAGCTTATTTCTGCAAATTTCAGCTTTTTCTGCTGTTTCAGCTACTACAGGTCCTTCTCAAAAATTAGCATATTGTGATAAAGGTCATTATTTTCCATAATGTAATGATAAAAATGAAACTTTCATATATTTCAGATTCATTGCACACCAACTGAAATATTTCAGGTCTTTAATTGTTTTAATACTGATGATTATGGCATACAGCTCATGAAAACCCAAAATGCCTGTCCCAAAAAATTAGCATATCATGAACAGGTTCTCTAAACAAGCTATTAACCTAACCATCTGAATCAACGACGTAACTCTAAACACCTGCAAAAGATTCCTGAGGCTTTTAAAAACTCCCAGCCTTGTTCATTACTCAAAGCCACAATCATGGGTAAGACTGCCGACCTGACTGCTGTCCAGAAGGCCATCATTGACACCCTCAAGCAAGAGGGTAAGACACAGAAAGAAATTGCTGAACGAATAGGCTGTTCCCAGAGTGCTGTATCAAGGCACCTCAGTGGGAAGTCTGTGGGAAGGGAAAAGTGTGGCAGAAAACGCTGCACAACGAGAAGAGGTGACCGGACCTTGAGGAGGATTGTGGAGAAGGGCCGATTCTAGACCTTGGGGGACCTGCGGAAGCAGTGGACAGAGTCTGGAGTAGAAACCTCCAGAGCCACCGTGCACAGGCGTGTGCAGGAAATGGGCTACAGGTGCCGCATTCCCCAGGTCAAGCCACCCTTGAACAAGAGACAGTGTCAGAAGCATCTCGCCTGGGACTGCTGCTGAGTGGTCCAAAGTTATGTTCTCTGATTACAGTAAATTTTGCATTTCCTTTGGAAATCAAGGTCCCAGAGTCTGGAGGAAGAGGAGACACAGAATTCATATTGCTTGAGGTCCATTGTCAAGTTTCCACAGTCACTGGGGTGTCATGTCATCTGCTGGTGTTGGTCCAGTGTGTTTTATCAAGCACAGGGTCAATGCAGCTAGCTATCAGGAGATTTTGGAGCACTTCATGCTTCCATCTGCTGAAAAGCTTTATGGAGATGAAGATTTCATTTTTCAGCACGACCTGGCACCTGCTCACAGTGCCAAAACCACTGGTAAATGGTTTACTGACCATGGTATTACTGTGCTCAATTGGCCTGCCAACTCTCCTGACCTGAACCCCATAGAGAACCTGTGGGATATTGTGAAGAGAAAGTTGAGAGACGCAAGACCCAACACTCTGGATGAGCTTAAGGCCGCTATCGAAGCATCCTGGGCCTCCATAACACCTCAGCAGTGCCACAGGCTGATTGTCTCCATGCCACGCCACATTGAAGCAGTCATTCATGCAAAAGGATTCCCGACCAAGTATTGAGTGCATAACTGAACATGATTATTTGAAGGTTGGAGTTTTTTGTATTAAAAACACTTGTCTTTCATTGGTGGGATGAAATATGCTAATTTTTTGGGACAGGCATTTTGGGTTTTCATGAGCTGTATGCCATAATCATCAGTATTAAAACAATTAAAGACCTGAAATATTTCAGTTGGTGTGCAATGAATCTGAAATATATGAAAGTTTCATTTTTATCATTACATTATGGAAAATAATGACCTTTATCACAATATGCTAATTTTTTTAGAAGGACCTGTATATACACAGCCATACAATCTAGCTGGTTTTTTTTGGTTACATTTTTTAAATACCATTTTATTTTCATTTGTTAAAAAAAATTCTCAATTTGTATGCGTCCTTCATGATTGTCTATTTTTGTCTTTATTGTCTACTGTTGTCATCACTCTGTTTGTTCCTGATGCTCAATGGGATTAACCTGTATGAATAAAGATTGGGAA